CATTGGACCTGTCTGATGAGTGGGCTTAAGTCCCTGCTGCCCTTCCTGCTTACGCTGCCACTGATCACAACGTTGGAACAACATATTAAATGTTGTTTCATCAGAAATTAGTTTGTAAAAATGTATGTATGGTTCTACAAAAACTGATAACTAACAATATTATTATAATGTGAAATTGTTAGCTGAGAGCCTGACCTCTAACCCTACCCCTTCCCAGTTTTTTTTTAGACACAGACACAGTACTGCAGCACGTACTCTACAGTAGTTACTACAGAACCCATTACAGTTACTGCATCACCACACCAATTAATACACTAGCCTTGGTGCACACTGTAACATGTACAGTACTACCACGTGAAGCACCACCATTACTGGTTCAGTCTTCATTTACAGGTTTAGCCTGTGTTAATAGATTGAAGATTGTTATTTTGTTCTGTGAAAAAGTGGTCTCCAATTAGCAGTGGTGGCGCCGCCAGCGGGTGGATGGGAGGAGGGGCTTAATTCCCCCCACCAGTCATGTCAATTCCCCACCGGACAGGTCAAGACCATAAAAATATATAAATATTAAGCCAACACAAGTCACAGTCACAGTCTGAAGGTGCCATTTCCAGCCTTCCAGAGGCTGCTGTTCTTAAAAAAAATCTCATTTGAGAGGGGGAACTCTCTCCCAACCCCCTTCAAATAGCTCTGGCATACGATCTCAAGTCCCCCTGTTGGACATCTTAGCCCCTCCCCCTCCCCCCCCCCAGAAAATATATCCTAGAGCTGCCACTGCCAATTAGAGGGGTCTCAGTGTCTTAAATTGTATGGTGCACTGTATTTGATAACAATTCAGTACATGAAAATACCCTCTCAAACCATTTTTTTTTTGGTTTTACTATTTTTCAGGGAATACTGTGAGTAATGTATTTATGATATTTCCACCATTGATTGGAATACGGTTCGCTGTCAAGGATGGGTTGGAAAGGCGATTTGTACTCGCTTTCTTTGGCCTCCTGAGTAAGTAAGGCCTTTAGAATATAAACATTTTTATAGTGCATACTGTAGTCCGCCTCAAACAAAGGCTATACTCACAGTGCTAATTTCACAGAACAGATGTTAAAGGATAGATTTAGTCTGATATTAGTTTGTTTTTTTTTTTTTTAAGTATTTAATATCTGACACATCATGTTTTTCATTTCCTTGTAGTTGTTGGAATTGGTTCCTGGTTTTTCCATATGACACTCCTTTACCAGATGCAGGTAAGATCATTAAATAATAAACACACCTCCAAAAATGCACAGAGCTTTTTTATTTCTTTTTTCTTTGGTTTAGTAATGTTGACTATAATTTTCGTTTGTTGTTCACATGATTAATTAACACTGTACTATACTGATTATCTTTATTGCTATTATTTTATTCAAATTATAAATATTATATAATTTTTATTATTATTGCTAAATATTATTTTTATATTTATTATTCAATAAATCATGATAATAATGATAAATATAAAGACTTCATAAATGTTACACAAGATTACTGTTATAATTAAAATTTTTTTGATAATCATAGAAATACCGACATACTAATATTAATTATCAAAAG